TAATATCCCTCTAGAAAATTTTTCACTCATAAGGAGACATCACCACTTGCCGGTGGAGGGCCAAAAATTTAGACCTATTCTCGGAACTCAGGGCCATTGAAAAGTGTGAGATCTTTTTCGTGCCAGAATCTAAAAAAATTAAAAGTATACTTCATGTATGTACTTTCACATAAGTATCATCTCTTCTGATCTTGAGTAGAAAATTTTGAAAGAATTATTCTTAAATATTCTTTTAAAACTTTGCTCACCTATTGTAGCCCCACCTTTTCACAGACATGATCTGAATAAAAATGAATCTACACTTAATAATAAAGCTTTCACATAAGTTTCAACTTTTCTGACACAATGGTTCTCGAGAAGATTATTTAAAGATGTCACTAAATTTTCACTAATTCTTAACTATACATGTACTTTCTTGAAAGAGGGCGTGACCATTAATTTGAACAAACTTGACTCCCTTTATCCATGTTTGCTTTCTGGTAAGTTTGGTTGAAAATGAAATTGGTCAGTAGATCTTTAGAAGAAGCTGAAAATGTGAAAAGTTTACAGACAGACAGACGGACGACACAAGAAATGTGATCAGAAAAGCTCACTGGAGCTATCAGCTGAGGTGAGCTAAAAATGTGTCAACCCCTACACCAATATATCGGCACTTGTATGAGAATTAAGCAAAAAGATGAATTCCAGATAACAATTCTACTGAACAAATAACTTTCAATGTCATATCCATGTATATATAACGAGAATAAATAATAGACTGATTTTTCAGATATCTCAAGAATTATGGTATTTTGACATATCAAAGTCATGTAAACTAATGCTGGACACAATTTTCTGAGCAACACCATTTCTCCCTACAGTATTGCGAGTAATGCTGAATAAATACAACTTGTTTACTTATTTATCAGCCAAACACTTTGTCCTTTTGTCTCTCTCTCTCTCTCTCTCTCTCTCTGTATGTCTCTCTCTCTCGCTTCACGATCTTAGTAAATATTCAACACACATCGGCGATAAAACGTGCCGATACTTGACTGTACATTTTGTCTTCCATTACGCAGGAGGAAGAAAAAGGTTCGTCTCGGTACAAATTGTCGCCGGCGACAATATGTATCGATGGACGACGATATGTGCAGTCAGGGTAGGTACATTTTGTCGCCGACGACAATATGTACAAAACGACAATATGTACCGTCACACCTCTCTTTTTGATGGCATGCTTAACGATACCTAAAACAACATAAGATTGTCCTTCGTAGTGTATACAATACAGTAGCGACGACGGACCGATGACAACGGACTGAATTTTCGTATCTTGTCATGACAACGGACAAAAATTTAAATAAATCAAAATTTTCAGTTTTAATTTGTTCTCAATTTTTCTGTAAAGGCTTACAACATGTCTTGATACTGTCTGCACCAATTGGTGTGTATATTATATTCTGTTTACAAAAAATATAACATCTCGGAAGGAAAATGAATAAAATCCACATGTGTTTTCAACAGGGTTTAATATCGCCAACGCAAACTCCTCTTTTATCACTTGTTTTTAACGGCTGAAATTCATACAGCACCAAATAGGGTATCAGCCCTGTTTCCCATTGCAATTTCAGACATTGTTAAAGATAATTTAACTTGAAAAATGAAAAACTTCTCACAACCTGTCTTCTCAAGTCATGACACCGGACGGATTTTATCATAACCTCACCTGTATGTTCATGACAACGAACCAGTTTTAGTGCTTAACTTTAAAGGTTTCTGACAACGGTACTGTCTAGGAACTTAACGTGTTCCTGGCCGTGTATTTTTAATACTCAGAACTAGTTCTAATATGTATTTCTATATTAATTGAAAAAAAAGTTAGATATAAATATTTTCGTAATTGACATGGATTATAATCTCTCCATTAACGATTTGTCGTCTTTAACATAACAAAAAGTGGCAGTGCTTGAAGTATCCGTTTATTGCCCGTATAAAAATTTAATTTTTCATCATCGTTCTACATCCATTCTTTCCAGAGTAATTTATTAAATAGCCTAACAGCTAAGTTAGAATAATAATAAAATATATTGTAGATAATATATTCCCATGAAATAATGATCCTTTAAACACGAAACATTAATGTTAATTATTAAATTTAAAATCTTGTAAATCCTTACTTATAAAAAAGATGTCCTTTCACTTCGGAGTTCCGAATGAAAGTGAAGACTGAACGGTAAGTGAACGCTGAACACAAGGTGAACGCAAAATGAACGAACGGAGAACGCGAGCGCACGGTGAACGCAGAACGCAAAACTGTGAACGGAGAGCGAGCGGTGAACGCACGGTGAACGAACGGTGAACGCACGCTGAACGAACGGTGAACGAACTGTGAGCGAACGGAAAGTTGGGACAGTAGAACGTTTCAGGGACTATACACAGTTATGGGTATTTGAAGTAATATAATTGCTTGGAAATGGAGAGTAGGACTGAAATGTCCTCAACCGAATGCATAGAGCTCGAAGAAGTGCATTGGATTATAATACAGACTGTCTAGTGAATGGAAAGGAAAATGCAGATTAGAATTTTGATTTGAACTGAAAATAGAGAAAATGAAGCTGATGCTGAAGGTATATTAATTTTTAATTACTGGCATTGAGAATAACTTTACAGGTCCGTAGCAATGCCTTTTAAAGGGGAACCTCCAAAAAATAAACTGACAAGCACCCCCCTCCCCCCAAAAAAAAAACTATAAAAAAAAACCCCGTAAACTGTTTAAACCCGAAAATCCTATATAAGAAGGGGGAATCTTTTTTTCTACTTTTAGATACACTTTTCTAAAGAAGAATTCCGAAATTTGTCAGTGCTTAACCTTGCAGCAACAAAAAATGTTTATTTGTGTGTGTGTGTGTGTGTGTGGGGGGGGGGGGGTTATGAAGATTTACTTTGAAAAAAAGAGTTACATGTCTAATGGATAATTTTTCAATATAACCAGAAACAGAACTCTTCTGTGATTAAAATGAGAGATTTACCACAGTCAACTCTGCTGTATAAATATTCATTGGTTTCAACCCAGAATAAGAAAATTTCTGAATTTTTAACACTGGATGAAAACATCACTTGAGGTCAAACATATTTATTACAAGTTCAGAGAGATCGTGTTTGAAACTTTAACTTATTTTATCCCTTCCTATTTCAGAATGAATCATTTTTTAAATTTCTCAATTCTGTATGATCACTAAATAATATTCTGTTTGAAAAAATTATGTGCACATAACGAAGATCAAACATTGGTATTTGCTAAATAATCACACTTGAATTTCTTTTGTTCAGTAACAGTCCAATTTTGAAGGATATCAGTACTGAGACAGTCTGATATTACGATTAATATCAGACTGCTCACTAATATCGGACTGCCACAGGTAAATATTTAGACTGCAAGAACAAAGATGTGACATCACAGCACTGTTTTAATTATAATATTGTAAATTTTTCTTTACAAATGTAATTTTCTGTCACTTGTTATCTTTTGAATGTTTACGTGCAGGAATGGGTAAATAATGGTGATTATTATATAATCTATAAAAAGTCCCTGTATAATCTATACAAACGCAAACAGTTCATTAAACTACATATTAACTGGATTTGAAGCTGTATTCACCGGAGGGTAAGTGCGCGTGCAGCGGCATTGTGACGTCAGAATCAATACCTCAAACAACGTTGAAATCAATGGTTGCAACGGCCGGAGCCAGCTGTATTTTTCAACTGAGCAGAAAAATTGTTAGGCAAGTCTATCGCAGGATTATTTTATATGACATTTCGATGTCTTTCATGTACACACAACGAAAGGAAAACACGAAAGTTATAAGTTGTAATCTGGACATTTTATTTATTTTTCTATGACAGAATATCGTTAATGAAAACTGAATCGTCAAGCAGCGTTAAATGTCTTATTCATTCAAACCCCACCTATATAATAAAACAATTATGGATTCTTTCGGTGCTGAATATGGTTTGTTATTCACCAGAAAAATATCAATGGTGAATATTCAACATTTAGAAATATGAAATTAAAAAAATATATTTAAATGAATAAAATGGGACCTGTGAAGTTATGAAAAGTAATCTCTTGTAAAATTGATTTCAATACATATAATTTTTCTTTGTAAATAACATCAGATTATTATTTTATATTATATTTTATGCAAATAAAATCAACTATTCTAAAATAATACATCTATGAACTATTTTGGAAAATCTTCAAAAATACTTTATTATTGTTTTTAATACGAAAAAAAAACAAAACAAAAACAGACAGACATATAAATAAATAAATAAATAAAATAAATAGAAAATTAATAAAAAAAAAAAAACATAATAACAGAAAACATGGATCAATCCAATAAGTTTTAACAACATTTAGGACATGATTACAATTAGAAAATGTTCACCTTGAAGCAATTTGAAAGCCTAATAGAAAATGTGGGCTGAATTCAGTTAAAAACAAATTAATAAATACACAAATACTCTATGTGGATGTTATTATCATTATTTTATGACATACGAAGATAACGAACAGTAATCAAGCTCACAAATCCATTTGAACACAGAGGTGGGATCAGGTCCCACGGATGAGTAATCACCTCTTATTTGATAAAAATATTTCTCGGGAAAACCCTGACAAAATTACTTCCCCCTACATCTTCTCTGAATACGCCGTAAAATAAACGTACGGGATATTAGAAACTGAAAGAAATCTACAGTTGTGCGAGTGTTTCCAATGAAGCGAGATGTCCCGATATACCTTGTTTAAAAATTCCACTCAGTGTACAAATAGATGTATGAGACTTTTTTTTTAATTACAAGTGCAATGCAACTGGACGGTGTAAAACCATTACAAAATTGCAATGCAGATATTTTAATTATTAAATTAATGACATCCTGCCTTGTTCGTTTGACTGTACAAGTAGACTCAAAACGTCAAACCGTTTAAATTTCTTTGAATATTTGAAACATAATTTTAGCTTGTGAGGAACAAATGTATGGTCTTGAGTGCATGTATCCTTGTGGCAACTGTAGTGACGGAGAATCCTGTCACCATGTCAACGGCACATGTCCCAGAGGTTGTATTGAGGGGGTGGAGGGCACAACATGTCAAAATGGTAAGACATTATGGAATTTTCCTTGTACATTTATTGAACTTAAAATTGATTATGCTATCTTTACTTTCTTATGTTTTCGAAATAAACAAACAAATTGACTAATCGCAGCAAACGTGTTTGTAAAATTTATTTAGAATTTTAGGACAAAATGCACATATACCATGTTTCACGACTAACTATGCTCTTTTGATGCTTGGATTATAACCCTGGACTTATGATTCTTACAATCTTGTGAGAAAACAGTATCATTACTATATTCATTAAGCTTGTCTCCTTGAAGATTAAAAAAAATATATTAAAAGATGCATTTAAAATGTATAATCAATTGTGACATGACCCGGCCAGTTTTCCTTTGATGTCAAGCGTACAATAACTGTGATACAGAACACTTTTTGTGGGCGTTTCTTATGCAAATGAGCAGAAACTGTACAATAACTACGATACAGAACGGTTAATTTTTAGCGATGACTGAAAGCTGTATCAGTATCTTAAATAAGATAGACATAAGAATCATTCAAATCGCATGATATAGAGCTGTTAGTACATGGCCGTAGGAACCGAGGGGCACGGGGAGGGGGGCATGCCCCCCCCCCAATAATTTTGCCGATATATAGATTACTATAGTAAATATAAATACTATATGCTTGTGCCCCCTCAATAAAAGCGTCTGATGCCCTTTTTTTTGCTTGTCAATGAATTTGGAATTTGCTTCGTACGGGCCTGTAGTACATGTATTTACTCAAAATTTACTCAAAATTTGAAGAGTGAATTTAGGATGGAATTTTACAAAATACAGTTACCTGTGGAGGATTGAAAAATAAATTAGAAAGAAGGGAGTGGGGTAATTCCAAAATGATTTTCTTTGACAAAAAAAAAAGAAAGGAAAATCGTATTTTTGGGGCTGGGGGGTGGGGGAGTGGGGGGTTAGATTCATAATCAGCCCTAACACTATGTGTGTGATCGTTACGTGTTGATAAATTAAAGTGTACACAAGTTTAGCAAACATAAATTAAGAAAGCCAAAACAATAACTCAAGGGGGGGGGGGCATACCAGCCATTCATTACTTGACCCGCCTTGGTCACTCTTACATTTTTTTTCAAACACGAAGGTAATATTTGCCCCTTTTTTAATCTGTGCATTTCAGTTAGGAGCCAGGAATACTGTATATGACGACTGATGGATGACGTACATTGTCGAATATTTCTCTCAGAATATAATCTCCCCAAACATTTTTTGCTTCAATTACATTCCTACATGTTTATTATGTATCAAAATGTTTTGCACGGTATTCCTTAAAGCTTAAATAAAAAAAAATGTTCGCAAGACCTCAAAACAGAGGAAGAACCTACGCAATAAAATCTAAATTAAATTTTGGGAAAACACAATTATATATCACCTCTCATAATTAAAATTATCTAAATTGATAGATACCTAAACTTCCGCCTCACACGGCATTTCAGTTACGACTGATAAAAATGGGGTACGTCATCAACTTTCTGCAAAATAATCTGACTGGCTGAGAGATGTGTAGCCAAATACAGATGTAAATTAGTGAGGTCATATGAAAGGTCATGTCACGTCATTTATAATACTCGTTTCCTACTGAATCTGAGATACAGGCGCTCTCGCCTTAAGCCCCGCCCTGTATCTCCGATACAGTAGGAAACTCGTACTCTAAATATTACTTAGCCCAACCTGATTTTTGGTGTCCACCATTTTAAGGAAGGGCTTATTATATATAGTATAAGATATTTTAATGCCAAAGCAGGTATATAAGTAAATGATAGATGAAATGATTAAATGATACGATCCCATTAAGCAGTCTATGCCATCTTACTTGTTTACATTAGCTAAAGTCCTAGTCAAATGCAATGAGAGAAGCAGGATGAAGTGTAATCATTTGATAGAAATGCGTGAAAATCCTACTCATACGTTTTATAAAGGAATCGATTTTCATTTTCGTCTTTGAAATTGTGTCCTTTATGTACTAATGAAAACTCATTAAAAACCCAGAAAAACATGACTGGTTATGCCATGTTTGACATAGAAAAGCGTGGTAGGGCAGTTGGTATAATGTTTTCATGATGCTCCTTTGGAGATGTTTGCTTAAAAAATGAAGCACTTAAAAAATTGTTTTTTATTGATTGAAAAGTACTTTGTCTAGATAAAAGAATGTTAAAATGTCCGCTGTGGGTAAACACCACATTTAATAGACACTTAAAAAATTGTTTTTTTATTGATTGAAAAGTACTTTGTCTAGATAAAAGAATGTTAAAATGTTCGCTGTGGGTAAACACGACATTTAATAGACACCACACGACTATTGCAAGATTGAACCGTAAAATCGTGGCAGTCGGAAGTGTAACGGATCGGGTACGGATGCCAAAGCACTAAATGGCTACTAGGCGACACCTTAGACCTTTAGCTTGATATCGTTCGAGATACAGGATCACCGTCGCTGTTGCTGCTTCTCTGACAACTATCTTTAACTGCCAATCTTATATCAGCGCACAAAAGGTGCGCAATCGTCTTCGGAAATAGATTACGCGCAAAGGGGTCCTTTGAGGGTGTTATGTTGAAATATTTACATTCCATATGTATTTTACTAAAAAATTGTTTGAAAAGCTACGGCATTAAAATATTATACATGTAACATGAACGAGGAGGTCAAAAGGTTAAAGTATGATTTTATTTTGATGTCACAAACGATGAACGCCGTGTAAGTGCAACGTCATAAATAAAAATCATAACATTCCCTCACATTGAACATTTTAAGGGTAGAAGCTCGTCCATAAATTGTAAATTATCTGAAGAATTATACAGGGAATTTGATATATTACTCACATTTGCAGACAAGCCAGAAAGTAAAAATATGTAAATATAAGCATTGAATTATAATTATTATTTTTGGGGGGGAAGATGTAGTCTCATTGCTGCAATGGTGTGTGCAGACAAATTTTTATAACGCGCTGACGGGATAAGTAATCCATGTGTATTGTGTGTAAATAATTTAAATTATATTCTTAACACATTAGAACTTTGTAATATTCGATCACATTTTTCATAGTGTTAGGAGGATTCATACCACCAAAAACTCAACGATCAGATTACTCAAAAATGGTTTAGGAAAACTAATAATTCCGTAAAGGTATAACTTACAGATTTCTTTTGAAAAAAAATCGAGACATCTATTTTTCTCCTTTTAGGAAATCATGTATATTTTCCTTTTGATTATTATGAAATAGAAAAAAATAGTAATGAGGAAGAAAGTACATACAATGTCCATGAAATATATGGAGATAACGAACAGTATTCAAGCTCAAAAGTTCATTATACAATACAAAATAGGAGCAGAGCAAACACGGACCTCCAAACATCAGAGGTGGGATCAGGTGCCATGGAGGAGTGAGCATCCCCTGCCGACCGGTCCATACAATACATTGATGGAAATGCATTGAAAAATTTGTTCTTTCACAATGCTTTTAGCTCTTCTGAGCCAAAGGCTCAAAGAGCTAATGCTATGGCCATATGTGCGGCGTGCGGTGTGCGTAAACTTTTTAGAATATGGGCCATAACTCAAGAACCCCTTGGCCAATTATTGTCAAATTTGTCACAAGGTATCCTTGGCCCAAAGGCTCCCATTTAGACTAAAACTGGGGTTGTGACCCTTTAACAAGGGGAGATAATTAGGAAAATAGAAACAAAAGTACTGGTTGCTAAAAAATCTTCTTCTCAAGAACCACTGGGCAGATTATTACCAAACTTACACAAAAGGATGAGGATATGTTGTAGATTAAAATTTGCGCGGGGATTTACCCTGGGGCAAAGGGCGTGGTCTCAAGGTCACTTCAAAGTTGACCAAAAATTACATTTTATTAAAATGTTGATATTTTGCTTACTATAAGGACTAGTATCATCAAATCTTGTCAGTTGATGCATCTAAGGACCTCATATCATGTTGACTCAAAAGTAGGTCATGGTGACCTACTTTTTAAATTTTGCAGCCATTCTTTTTCAAAATGATTTAGAGGCATATTTTGAACAATTTAAGGCCTATGATCATCAAACTTTGTCAGTTTATGTATCTTAGGTCCTCAAAGTATGTAAACTAAACAGTAGGTCACCTTGACCTACTTTTTGAATTTTATGGCTTATCTTTCTCAAAACAATTAAGGTCATTAATTCGAATACCGAGAGGTTTAGAATCATTAAATCTTGTAAGATGATGCATCTTGGGGCCATAAAACATATTTATTAAAAAGTAGGTCACAGTGACCTACTTTTTGAACTTTGCAGGCATTTGATTTCAAAGCGTTTTAGAAGCTTAGAATCATAATTGGCTTAGAATCATAAAACTTTGTCAGTTCATGTGTCTTGGGTCCTCGGAGTGCAACAACTGAAAAGTAGGTCATGGTGACCTACTTTTGAAAATTTATGGCTTTAATTAAATATTTTGGATACTAATTGGCTTAGAATCATTAAACTTTGTCAGTTGATGCGTCTTGGGTCCTCGGAGTACAACAACTGAAAAGTAAGTCATGGTGACCTACTTTTAAAAATTTATGGCTTTAATTAAATATTTTGGGTACTTTTTGGCTTAGAATCATCAAACTTTGTCAGTTGATGCATCTTGGATCCTTGGAGAACGACAACTGAAAAGTAGGTCACTGTGACCTACTTTTGAAATTTATGGCTGTATTTAATACAGGAATTATTTGGCTTAGAATCGTCAAAATTTGTCAGTTGATGCATCTTTGGTCCTCGGAGTAGATTGACTGAAAAGTAGGTCACTGTGACCTACTTTTGAAAATTTATGGCTTTAATTAAATATTTTCGGTACTTATTGGCTTAGAATCATCAAACTTTGTCAATTGATGTATCTTTGGTCCTCGGAGTACAGCAACTGAAAAGTAGGTCACCGTGACCTACTTTTGAAAATTTATGGCTTTAATTAAATATTTCAGGTACTAATTGGCTTAAAATCATCAAACTTTGTCAATTGATGCATCTTGGGTCCTTGGAGTACAACAATTGAAAAGTAGGTCACTTTGACCTACTTATAAAATTTTATGGTTATAATTTTAAAAAATATTTTAGGTATTAATTGGCTTAGAATCATCAAACTTAGTTGATGGGTCCTCAGACAATGACAAGTGATAAGTGGGTCACCATGACCAACTCTCAGGTACTAATTGGCTTAGAATCATCTTGGGTTCTCAGAGTGTGAATTGGAATTTCAAGGGTTTATCTATATATACAGGATACTTCGAGGGTTCAAATAGATGTGATAGGTTGCACAGTTTATCAGAAGAGCGATTCAAGGCCCATGGGCCTCTTGTTTTATATTTGAAGTGACAGATTGCTTTCGAAACCTGGTTGAACTATTTAAGAAGTAAAGCATTGTTTTTGCTGTAAATGATAGAAATAAGGTTTTTGTAAATATTCAGTGGATGTTGATATAAATTGATACTCTCTCAAGCATGCCAGTCAGGTTACTATGGTAAGAACTGCAGTCAAGAATGCAGTATTAACTGTGGAGTGACCAGCAGATGTAACAGGTTTACTGGGAAGTGTGACGAAGGTTGCAAGCAGGGATGGAGGGAGGACCTATGTGATAAAAGTAGGTTTTTATCTTTGCATGACTTTTATTAAATTTGTCAATAGGATAGAATAGAAACTTGGTTAATGTTATGTTCGTATTTAATTGCTTGCAATATGTAAGATATGGAAAATCCAAGAAATGAAAGATTTTGCGTTTCTTTATAAGTATGTGCCCTTTTTCTGTTTTCATCTTTTTTTTTCATTTAAAGTTAGACAGTTATTTACTTTTCTCTTTGGATGTAGATTAAAGTAGTGGTGATTTATTATCATTATCTTAGTAGTACGTTCTTGATAACTATAAATAATATTCTTAAGAATGTGACAATGGAACCTACGGAATGAATTGTACCAAACTATGTGGAGATTGTCGGAATGATACACAGTGCCATCATGTTAACGGTTGGTGTCTAGAAGGGTGTTCTGAAGGATACAAGGGATCTCGTTGTGACCGGAGTAAGAACATTTCTTTTGTTCAGAAAAAATACAGTAAACCAAATCACTCTTTTTTTCTCTTAGGAATTTCAGCCTGAAAAAGGGTTTATTTTCACTCAATCACTGTACATGTACAAATGCAAAACTTTCCTTTATCTTATAAATGGATATGAAAACAAATTTCGTTCTTTTAAGTCATCTTTTGTTATTTAAAGAAAACGTTAAGATCATTGATAGGAAGGAATCGTTTTATCTATAGCACAGATATGCTGATGAATGAATTGTTCAATTTTTAGCTCACCTCAGCCGAAGGCTCAAGTGAGCTTTTCTGATCACATTTTGTCCGTAGTCCGTCTATCTGTCCGTCTGTTAGCTTTTCACATTTTCGACTTCCTCTCCAGAACCACTGGGCCAATTTCAACCAAACTTGCCACAAAGTATCCTTGGTTGAAGGGGATTCAAGTTTGTTCAAATGAAGGGCCACGCCTTCTTCCGAGGGGAGATAATTATGAATTCGTGAAAAATTAATGGCATCATTAAAAAATCTTCTTCTCAAGAACCACTGTGCTTGAAAATATGAAACTCATGTGAAAGCATCCTCAGGTAGTGTAGATTCAAGTTTGTTCAAATCATGACCCCCGGGGGTCGGGTGGGGCCACAATGGGCGATCAAAGTTTTTACATAGGAATATATAGGAAAAATCTTTAAAAATCTTCTTCTCAAGAACAGGAAAGTCATGACTTGTCATATTTACATGAAAGCATCCTCAGGTAGTGTAGATTCAAGTTTCTTCAAATCATGAGCCCCGGGGGTCGGGTGGGGCCACAATGGGCGAATAAAGTTTTACATAGGAATATATAAGAAAAATCTTAAAAAATCTTCTTCTCAAGAACAGGAAAGCCATGACTGGTCATATTTACATGGAAGCATCTTCAGGTAGTTAGATTCCAGTTTCTTCAAATAATGACCCCCGGGGGTCGAATGGGGCCACAATGGGCGATCAAAGTTTTACATAGGAAAATATAGGAAAAATCTTTAAAAATCTTCTTCTCAAGAATAGCAAAGCTATGATTGGGCATATTTACATGGAAGCATCCTCAGATAATGTAGAGTCAAGTTTCTTCAAATCATGACCCCCGGGGATCTGGTGGGGCCAAAATGGGCGATCAAAGTTTTTACATAGGGATATATAAGAAAAATCTTTAAAAATCTTCATCTCAAGAACAGGAAAGCCATGATTGGTCATATTTATATGGTAACATCCTCAGGTAGAGTAGATTCAATTTTGTTCAAATCATGACCCCGGGAATAGGGTGGGACCACAATGGGCGATTCAAAGTTTTACATAGGAATACATAATAAAAATCTTTTTAAAAAAAAACCTTATTTCTTAAGAACAGCAAAGCCATGTTTGGTCATATTTTACATAGGAATACATAATAAAAATCTTTAAAAAAAACTCTATTTCTTAAGAACAGCAAAGCCATAATTGGTCATATTTATATGGAAGCATTCTTAGATAGTGTATATTCAAGTTTGTTCAAACATGACCCCCAGGGGTAAGGGTGAGGCCACAATGGGTGATCAAAGTTTTACATAGGAATACATAGGAAAAATCTTTAAAAATCTACTCAAGAACAGCAAAGCCATGATTGGTCATATTTAAATGGAAGCATCCTCAGGTTAAGTAGATTCAAATTTGTGCAATTCATGCCCCCCCCCCCCCTCCCCGAACAACTTTTATATTTAAACTTTCCAACCTTTCAAGACTGAACTGATTTCTGCTTTTTCCTAGCCATAGTGCTCAGGTGAGCGATGTCATTATATGTTAAACCTATGCAAGCTACTGGCATATAAGTTAATGTTAAACAGATATCAAGAACCCAAATGAAAGTCAACTTGTTTGCAAATTCTACGGTCGTTATAATGACCTTGTTTTTAAACACACCTGTTGTTTTGTCCTATTTTGTCCGACATGTTTTATACCATTTGTATTTAATATGACTACGGAGTAGCCCGTCTGTCTGAACATGTATAGAGGTCACGATGGGTGTGAAAAGAAATGCTTACTCTTCCCCGGCATTTGATCCCCTCTCTGGTGTTCCCAGGGGTCCCACAGTAATGTTAAAGCAGCACCCTGATCATTATATGGCAAATTCCCACTTTTTTGTAAAATGTAGCATTAATAAATTAGATAAACTACGGATAAAACATGTACTATTATTTTCCATTGTATAGTCGTAAATGAGTCTTAGACTAAAAGAAACATTCCGCAACGACGTCATCATGTGACGTCTATAAATAGAAAAATATGCATTGATAACGAGTAAAAGCTCAACACTACCCCGGGATATTTCGTATCTGTAAAAAGAATCATGAAAAAAAAATCTCTGAGCCATGAAACGAACTGATAGAATCCTACTCTCTTGTCACAGAAATTATTATTCCACACTATCGCATGAAACCTTACCATTTTTTTTTTTTACATTTTGTACAAATAATCCAAGAATTGTCACAATTTATGCATATGTTAACCATGCGATTTTAGCAACACTTCCAAAATACTTAAGAACACAATGTATCGATATCGACGTTATTTATATTTCAAAGTATGCGGCATAATGTTGAACTTTTGAATCTTTCATGTTAAGAATGAAAGAAAAGAAAGGCCGATCGGGATTTCAAACACTGCCTATCTTCATTGTAAGAAATAAATCAGCATATATCTGATTCTTAACTTTTAATTCCTAATGAATCACACGTGTATATTCACTATATATGCCTTTAAACCCACAATTCATATATTAGTTGTATAAATTCTCGTTCCGTGTCATTTCACTCGGAGAATATTTGATCAATTGTTATGACGTCATGGGTTAGGTATTTAACCTCGTTGACAATTACTTCGTTCTTTATACCATTAAAAATGTCCAGATTTAGTTATACATGTATTATGATTGGCATGTTTCAATCTATTTCTAAGACTTGAATAAATCTTTTAATATGAATGTTAAGAAATTGATATCTATACAGTTCACGTCATAAAGCTTATTATGACGTCATATTGTATATCACATACCTGCGGGCTGTATTATTGCTCTGTTCGTGATTCGTTTTGTTTACTGGATTTCTTAGATCAGTAACTGTTCGTTATCGTTTTCTTTATTTTATACATTGACACCAGCTCTGTGAAAACAGAGCTGAGTTTAATTAAGAAATAAATTGTAAGTTTTATTAAGAAATAAAGCTAAGAGTTATTAAAGTTTTACAACTATAATCAGGGTTTTGGGAGGATATGATTTAAAATTTTAAAAATGCTTACATTGTTCAGTCAACGTTTTACATGGACAAATCATACTTAGGTAAATTTTCAATTAATTCCTTATAATTTAATTCTTACCATTTAGCAAAGAAAATGAGCGATTTGTACTTAACAATGACATTAAAATACACAAATTTCTAACATAATGTCAAGCAGATAGATACTTCTATGACGCAAATAATATAATGACATAGATAAGATAGATTACAGGATTCAAATTATTAAAAAGTGCTTTCAACCACAATTGAATTATTAACAAATATAATCTGTACGATGTCGTTTATTTAGAATGTGACGACGGAATGTACGGTCAACGTGATAATTGTACTCAAATCTGTGGCAGCTGTCTTTATGACTCACAGTGTGACGATATCAACGGTACATGTTCTGACGGGTGCTCTGTTGGATACAAGGAGCCTCTCTGTATAGGTACTTATTAATGATGACTATTATGACTAATTTTTATATCACTGAAGTAGAAAAATGTTCGGCACAATGTCATTGTTTTTTAACATGAAACTTGTGTGTCTTATCCTGATGTTGTGAACTCCGAAGTCTTGTCTTACGCGATGTACACTTTAAGTCTTCTTCAATGAATTCAATTGTTAAACATGATGTGTAATCCAGAATGTTGTCTAATTCGGCCAGGTCTATGAAACCCGATTAGACAAGTTCTCCTGTATTTAAAGTAAAATTGGACGACGTGAATAAAAATGAATGTAATACATTTGTTTTCATTCGCCTTAATACATAAATTACAGAATAACATATTTCATCTTTTCATTATTTTCTGAAAATGTTTTACAACATCAGTGGACACTATCTTACCAAATATACCTTGTGTTGAAAACAAGACAATTAAGAGAATCATACGTTAATGAATTATTTTTTAAAGAATGTGACGATGGGATGTACGGAGAAAACTGCACCCAGACCTGTGGTCACTGTTATAATAAAACACAGTGTCACCCTGTCAATGGAAGCTGTTTTGAGGGATGTTCTGCGGGTTACACGGGGTCACGATGTGACAAAGGTACTGGTGTTTAATTTTTTGAGCCAAATGTTTGACTGATATTTTTTATCAATATTTTTTTCTAACCATAAAAAAGACATGATAATACTTGTAATTATATAAAATATGATACCAAAATTAAGTCATATATATTTCTATGATAGAATGAACGAGGATTGTGACAACTGCTTTCAATTCTTTAATAATCGAATGTTGTCAACAGAATTTTACATACCAATATCCTTATCCATTTTGATATTTGCCTTAAATTTAAATCAAACCTCCCACACCTTCTATGTAATAATTTTTATTGTCATTCTGCTGTAAAGCGTCTTGTTTTGAGTTTCATATTATTTTTTATGCCCCAGTATCGAAGATTCGGGGGTATATAGTTTTTGCCCTGTCCGTCCGTCTGTCTATCTGTTTGTCTATTTCTACTGTTTGTCCGTTAAAACTTTAACCCTGCTCATAACTTTTGATTATTTGGAGCTATGATTTTCATTTTTTAAATGTGTATTTCTTGTGACAAGACCTTTCTTTGGGTACAATCATATTTGAACCACTTTTGCAAAATTTTGGAGACTTTAACCTTGGTTGTAACTTTTGAAAAGTTGGTGCTTGGGGTTTCAAACTTCACATGTGTATTTCTTGTGACAAGACCTTCCTTTAGATACCAACAACTTTGACCATTTGACTTTGGGGTTGAACCTTGGCCATAACTTTTGAACTTTTGGAGCTAGTGCTTTTATATTTAACATGTATATTCCTTGTAAAAAGACCTTCCTTTGGATACCAACCACTTAAACCCTTTGACCTTGACCTAGGGGTTGATCTTCTTTTGAAAAACTTTAACCTTGACCATAACTTTTGAATGGTTAGTGCTAGAGCTTTCATAATTCACATATGTAATCCTTGTGTCAGGTCCTTCCATTTGGATACCAACAACCTGGACCCTTTGTGCTTACCTTGGAGTTTGACCTACTTTTGAAAAACTTTAATCTTGGCCATACCTTTTAAACATTTGGTGCTATGGCTTTCATACTTCACAAGTGCATTCTTTCCTTTGGATACCAACAAATTTGGCATTGACCTTGACCTTGGAGTTTCACCTACTTTAAAAAAAAAACTTTAACCTTCGCCATAACGTGTGAACGTTTGGTTCTAGGGCTTTCTTATTTCACGAACATGTGTATCACTTGTGACAAGACGTTTCCTTGGGGGCCTCATTTGACTTTGACCTTGACGTTTCACTTACTTTTAAAAGTAAGTTAAACCTTCGCTATAACTTTTGAACATTTGGAGCTAGGGCTTTCAAATTTCACAGGTATATTTCTCAAGAAAAGACCTTTCTTTGGCTACCAACATTTTTTATCTCTTGACCTGGAGTTTTCATCTCAATTAAGAAACTTTAACCTTCGTCATAAGCTGCCATACGGGGGCATCAGTGTTTCAAACATATCTTGTTTCTTTTTTATCTTCGTCCAGATGTTTTTTTTTTTAAATTTATTTTGTGTATATCCTATGAATCGTCAGATTCAGCAGTAAGTGCCTTTAGAAGTTGATAAATCGTCCATTTACTTCTCCCTCCGAAGTGAATGTTGTGTAGTAAGGAAGAGGGTTTCATGCCCCCGCAAGCCAAGATAAATAATCTATTAAATGTATGGCCGTGCTAGATTATACCTTAGCTTTGCGCAGGAGCAATGAGTCTCTTACATACCACAATCGTATCACTAGATGTGCTTATGACAGAGAAGAACAACATAAGTCAGGTTTAAATTTCAGTAGTTTATATAAGAAAAATGATTTTGATGGGTAAAGATGATAACAAAAATGATAACAAGATGCAATAACAAAAATGAGGGGAAAATATGAATAATATACACAAAGTTGAGAAAAGAAACTCTCAGAAAGGAAAATTGTATAATATGAAATATTTATATAGAAATATTCTCAAAATATGAATTCTTTATCAAAAAGCACCAAAATAAATTGGAAAATGTAAATATTTTCCAGATATAAATTGTGATAAATAATTGCTCGGCACTCCTAAAATCACAAAAATGTTCAAAAATATCTAAATAATTTTTAGAAGAAATATAATTCAAAAATATTTATTTCAAATAAGAAATTTAATTTATTTCAAAAAATAAACTTTTAAGGAAAAAAAATTCCGAATGAGTCAGTGACTCAGTTATCAAAAATGCACTGTAAAAGTGAAAGTAACAGAAAAAGAGTGAGGTGCTGAAACAGTACCTGTACGGAGTGTTCTGCCGGACAACTCCAAAAAGAAAAGGACAAGACTGTCCTTTTATACTTTATTGAACAATAGAAAATCAATGAATCGATAAGTTTATATCAAATTGAACTATTGGATTCACATAACGCCGATTAGCCAATCAGAGCGGACTTTACAAAGGTATGTGAATACACAGTACAGGAAGTTACATAGATTGTTTACAAATGGAGAACTGGCAACATGTGTTTGACTTCGCGTTGTGTTTAAAGTTAAATATGTTGAAATAGCACCAAAATAATGAGGTAAAAACTCTTAACAATCAAGTTTAAAGATGTAAAGATGAAAAGGTAAGCAATTTGGTTGTAAACAAAAACCAGTTTTCCTACAGTTGCAAAGGTTAATATCTTGATTTAACACCGGATTTGACGTGACGTCCATTGACAACTAATAAAGAAAATAATTAATATGCCAAAGGTACAAAAGATGCCTAAAATACCATTGTAAATAGAAGTCAAAAGACTGACAGATGCTTAGAAGAGGAAAGTATTTTCCATGACACTTCCTCTTGAATCGACCGCCACGCTAGATCTACCGGTAAATGTACATGTACGCACAACGGAATGGATACGCAAATACACTTTGGAAAGTTTTTTTTTTTTAAATGGATCAAAACTGGGCATTCTGACACAAGTTGGGAGTGCACATAAAATAAAAAATTAGTGAGAAATTTTTAAATGATTTATGATAATAGATTACCTGAAAACGAGTGCCGAAAATAACGACGTCGGTATCGTTATTGCACTGTGGCAATAAACGTGACTTAAGATTGTGTTTATTTTAATATATAAAAAATCATTGCATATACCTGTATCTGAATGAAAATTTAAGGCAACAGTAAAAAAAAATAGAGGAATGAACAAAGAAAATTCTTGACAACTCGGTTTGTAAAGATTTTATAGCAGCTGGTACGTTACCTTTGGATCAATATTCGTGTTTATTTAGAATTTGTGTACTTTGCTCTAACACTTGTAGAAAGAAGAAAAACCTCTCAAGCGCTGAGTTGAACATTCAGTGGCTCTAAATAGTTTCTTCTGGCAGGTTATGCAAATCTGATAGCAGTAATACATTTTTCCTTTGTTCAAAATATGGCAGTGACTGTAGAAGCAGAATGAGACACACATACCTTTTTAATTTGTTTTGTTTTGATTTATTTCATTTCGTTCACATTTGTATTTCAAACTTTCAATCGTATTTTTAATTTATGTCGCTTTGGTATTATCATGCCTTATACTAAAGGCTTGATATTTTGTTCAGAAGACACAAGATTTCTTTTTTCCAAGCACATACTTTGCAAATATTTGCAGAAGTTGCACTGATTTTTAAATTGTGAAAATGTAAAAAGCAAATATATACACCCCTTTAACCCCAGGTAGTTGAGGGATATATATTTTAAAGCACAAGTTCGTTAATTTTCAAGTGAAGGAAGTAAATACTTTGTGGGTGATTGCTTATTACTATACTATTTTGCTTATCGACAATGATACTATTTCTTTTGGTTTTATCAACATATCTTCATCTATCAGTTTATTATTTTTTTTATAAATTGTCATTCCATTATCTTTTACAAGCTATATTTTAAGATGACCCGTAAGTTCCTTGGGCCTATTGTTTAAAGATACGAATTATTAAAGTTTATTTAGAGTTAGATGATTTCTGTTGAATCAAAATTACTTAAATATCTTTGAAGTACATAACCTAAATGATATGTAGATTTAAAAAGGTTTCTAACGAAGTCTGAGTGAAAACAAAATGTGTTTGTGAAACACTGATGTCCCCGTATGGCAACTTATGGTGAAGGTTAAAGTTTCTCAAATGCAAATCAAAATCCAGGCCAAAAGATAAAAAATTGTTAAATTTGAAAGCCCTAGCTGCAACTGTTCAAAAGTTATGGCGAAGTTAAAGTTTTTTGAAAGTAAGTAAAACATCAAGGTCAAGGTCAAAGTTGTTGGTATCCAAAGGTCTTGTCACAAGGATTACATATGTAAAGTATGAAAGCCCAAGCACCAACCCGTTATGGCCAAGGTTAAAGTTTTTCGAAAGTAGGTCAAACTCCTATTTCAATGTCAAAGGGTCAAAGTGGTTGGTATCCAAAGGAAGGTCTTCTCACAAGGACTACGTATGTGAAGTATGAAAGCCCTAGCACCAACCATTCAATAATTATGGCCAAGGTTAAAGTTTTTCAAAAGTAGGTCAAACTCCTATGTCAAGGTCAAAGGGTCAAAGTGGTTGGTATCCAAAGGAAGGTGATGTCACAAGGATTACATATGTGAAGTATGAAAACCCTGGCATCAACCATATAAAAGTTATGGCCAAGATTAAAGTTTTTTCAAAAGTAGGTCAAACTCCAAGGTCAAGGTCAAAAGGTCAAAGTTGTTGGAATCCAAAGGAAGGCCTTGTCACAAAGAATACACATGTGGAGATGGAAACCCCAAGCACCAATTGTTCAGAAGTTATGGCCAAGGTAAATGTCTCATAAAATTTTGCAAAAGTGGGTCAAACTCCAAGGTCAAGGTCAAAAGGTCAAATATGATGGTACCCAAAGAAAGGTCTTGTCACAAGAAATACACATGTGAAATAGGAAAGTCATAGCTCCAACCAATCAAAAGTTATGGGCAAGGTTAAAGTTGACAACAGACAGACAGACGAACAGATAAACAGACAAACAGATAAACAGACAAACAGACAGACAGGACAAAAACAATATACCCCCGGGATCTTTCGATCCGGGGGCATAAATATATCTACATTTTTTTTTTCATTTTCATGATTTACAAGTATTCAATATGCAGGTTGCATGCATGTGCCACAAGTTTTTCCAAGTTCTTTAACAGATATAATTTTATCCCTTAGAAACAAACGGAATTTAAGCTGTCGAATATTAAAAGCAAAGTACAAATCAATTTTAAGAAAATTACCCCTCTTTGTGCCTTTTTCTCATTTTTATTTGTAATTGACAAGTATTAATGAAAAAATGAATGAATCTTTTTTTTGTGATTTAAAGAATGTGACATCGGAAAGTACGGTGATAATTGCAGTCAAATATGCGGCCACTGCTACAATATTACACAATGTTACAATGTTAATGGTAAATGTTTAGAAGGGTGTTCGATTGGATACGATGGATCGCTTTGTATCAACGGTATGATTCATCTCTTCAGAAAACATCAACTTACAATGATTTCTATTTATAACACTAAAAGGTAAAACAAAGGTATTTTGTGACTTGTTAAAAATACAACCATTTTTCAGAAAAAAAGACATCAACAAATAACATATTGTCTGTCCTTGTGGGGGGGGGGGGTTAACATAACTAGTATTTCATATATTTTCTGTTGCTTTTAATACAGTAATTATGTATTAAAATACATCAATTATGTCATTTAATAGTTTCAAATGAATATAATTAGAGATTATTGTGATTGCTTCTATTTTTCAATCGATTTGATTTCAATCTAAATGTCAATTGTTTAACCAAAGTTGCAAGACAGCTTTTCTCGTTAAAATTTGTCCTTGGTCTGTCCTGTCTGTATGTAAAAAGTTTATATCCTTGACTTCTCCTGATGCAGCCAGTTGTAACTAAAGGTAAAACAGAGTATACTTTGGTGAAGATGTCTACAGTTGAAGGACCATACATCATTCTAGGAGTAAATGATTTTAAAAAGAAGAAACTTTATTGGTTCATTTAAAAAACTTCTTGAGAAGTTTTGAACTATAGTTAAAGTTGGAGTTCGTTCAATATCAAAGTCCCTTGGTACGGATTCGGTTACAAGCACAAGGGTACACAAAAATCCCCATCAAGTGCAACTTCAAGTTTGTTACATTATTGTCCCTGGTGGGGCAAGAGACAAATACGGGGTTAAATATTTTTATGGGAGTATATAGGAAGAAAATGTCAAAAGAACAGTATGTCCAACATTTGTGATATTTACATACAGGCATCTTATACTGAGATTTTGCAGACTCAAATTTGTTCAAACCATGGCTACTGTGTAGAACATGTACATAAGATTCTCTTAAAGGTTAATTCTGGAATCTGAAAATGTTCTTTTCAAGAAGAATATGGTCACAAAATATATCACATTGTTAAGCATTGATGCAAAGTCTAGATTTTTAAAAACATTTATTTAAACAATGACCGAATATAAGTTGAAACCACAAAAATTGGATGAAATATTCTGTTATGAAATATATAAGTAAAAATACATATAAAAAAGTTTGAAAAGCCTCTTCTAAAATAGCAATGAACAAATACTTATTCCATTATAAATAAATCATATTTATTAACAAATGTACCTTACCATGATCTAGGAATATGATTTTATTGGTATTGGGAACTAAAAAAATGGAGAGTAGCAGGGCTACATTTCATCTTTTTTGATATGCAAACATACTAAATTATTTAACTGGAGCAAGGTCGAGGTTAATATATGGGATGAATTCTGTAAAAAAAAAACCTGCTCAAGAAGACCCAAGCCCCAATTTCACACTTAAAGCTTCTAAAGTTGAGACAAAGGAACGACCACTATGATCAGTTTCATGATATTAGGTTACATATCAAATTAAAAGAAAAAAAAACATTTGTCTAAAAAAAAAAGACAGGTGACGCGGGGGAGGGAAGGGGAGCTTTGACCCTTTGGCCTCATCTTTCCTTAATAATATTCTGTAAAATTATATTCACATTATGATAACTTTCATAAGATACATTTATAAACAAAATGAATCTTTTTGTAGTGTGTACTGAAATGAGTCCGGAGTCCAGATCGTGTTCGAAATCTTCTGAGGTTGGCTTTGACATATACTTTAATAAATTAATGGATAATTATCAATTGAAGAATAAATAATTAAAATTTATTAGTATAAATGTTTATCATTTTAGACAGCATCGTCGATTCCTGTAATTGCTGGAGTAATTACCGCTGTTGTCTTCTTTCTGATCATATTTGCAGCCATCTTAGTAAGACGGTAGGTCAAACTTTGACAAAAGCAAGTGTCATACAGAAAAAAAGCATTTTTTTCCGTAAAAATTCTTAATTAAAATTTTATTAAAATTTATGTTTTTTTTTTCTTTTGAGATAAACAAAACAAAGCGAAAACTAAATAATCTTCAAACAATTTTTATTCTTTCACCTGAAACCATTTGAGTAATAATAATTTTTACATGTACTATCTCCTGTTGAGTTTATGCTATTTTTTCCAAAGTATACAGCAAACATGACCAATTATAAGTCGAAATTTCGATTTGTATACAATGTACATACCGTAGGAACGAGTTGAAAGATCAGCATTAATTCTCTTCAAAAGTTTACCATGCGTTTCTTTTTTCCTTCCAAAAGCCATTGCTATTGCTAAAAATAATTTTACATCGATTTCTCGTCATACAATTGTCAGCCCGTGATAAAAAAAAAACTGAGTGGAAATATAGAACTAAGATCCAAAAAGAATTATTTTCGTTATAAGAATTAGAAAAAAAATCGTCGTTTTTTCAAATAAGCATTCACAGTAGATAATAGTAGATTTGTTAGTTATTAAAATGTTAGTAAGAAAACAACACCGTTGGAAGAAAAATCATCAAATTTAAATGTTTATGGATTGTGTTTCTGTTTGCAGATCGCGAGATTCGAAAAGAAATAACGAGAAAAAAAAGATACGAAGCGCAGGTTAAGAGATATAATTATATATTTTATATATTGTGAATAAAACAATTTTTTTTTTGGAGAGAAGCAAACATATTTAAGGCTTAAATTGTTATAAAAATTTATTATCAGTAGAGATAAACTGTCTTGAAATTGGACGTGTACATTGCCTGTCAGTTCCTAGAGTCAAAGTTAATTACGAATTTTCTATAGTATCACTTAAATTTAGTTAAAAAAACCCCAACAATATCATATCTTTTTTCTCATTAGAAAGTGCTTCAAGAGCAGAAAAAACGACTTTCACGAATATTTTTTATAACATGGATGAAGATGAAGAATTCTCAAAGAAAAGTGGATCTCGACATACACATAGAAAAGACAATCAGAGTTATGAACTATACAAAGAAACGAATGAGCGGGAAGATGAGATCGACAATGATGAAAATATGCATAAAGAAAACCCATACGGAGATCTCTCTATGAATGAAGAAAAGATTCCAGATATTGATATAGAAAACTTGGAGAAGGTTATAAAGGAAAAACGGAAAAATGAAGATGATGGCTTTAAAAGGGAGTATGCGGTAACTTTTTTTAAAATCAAAAGCAATTGAAGTTTTTAGAAATGTGCTATATGTTAAATTGTTGAATTGTTCCGATTTCTACGATAGACAATGCCATACGGTGAAAAATACCCTTGTAACGCTGGAAAACAACCAGAAAACATACTTAAGAACAGATATAAGAACACGTTGCCATGTAAGTCCTGCTTGAGAAGTGTTTATAATACAAAAAAAAAATATTAAATTATCGTTGCTCACATTTATTTTGCAAATTTACATTGTAACTGAAATGATTTTTATTGCAAATCTGCATTATTATCAGTTTAAAGTATAATTTTCTTTCTTGATATAACATGCATCTGTCAAGAAAGTTTTGCGTCAAAACAATCTTAAGCGAAAAGTGAGCAAAATAGTAAATAAAGGAAAAACAGTTATTTTAAAAATATACCAGTTCTTGGGAGAGAGTATTGAGGGCAATTATAATGCTTTTGTGGAATACAAAAAATGGAAAAATAAATACTTTCAGACGACCATTCCAGAATCAAATTGTTGAACAGCCAATCAGACTATATCAACGCTAATTTTATTGACGTAAGTAGTTGTAAACAGAAGCCTTTATAAATGTGATGTATGTTTGGTATTGCTATCCATTTTGGTAGGGAAGGGAAACAACAATAAAAGTTATTTGTTTTCTCCTCTTAATTACTTAACAGAATTTTTTTAAGTGTATCTGTCTTTACAAAATGCTTAAAGTGTGAAGCAATACGGAACGTGACTTCAAAAGGGCTGTGAATGTGTTTAAGGATAGACGTTCTTAAAAAATATATAATTTTTTCTAAGATTTTATAATCGAAGTATTGCTACTTTAACATGTTTACTCACAAAAAATTGAGGCACCTGACCAGACATTTGTGCAAGATACCAGGTGGTTGTTTTCTAATATAATCCTTTTGGAAATAAATTACCAATACAAAAAAAAAAAATAACATTTTGATTGTTTAAAGACAATTAGAAACCAGTTCAGAAATCATAAGGTTATCATAAATTTACATTATTTTTAAACGTTACGAAGATATACAAAACACATATCTGAGTAATTTATCGTTTGACCATAATTATTATACTATTTAGCAATGGATCTTTTATACCATACGTTTGTATAGTGTATTTATCATGAAAAAAGTTTTCCTTTTTATTTTCAGGGCATCAGTAATTCGAATGAATATATTGCCACACAAGGTATCAGTGTTTCTTTCTATTCATTGTAAATTTATTCTCTTTTACTAAACACACTATAGTGTTAACAGTCAGTTAGTAAAAAGTTACCTAATAGATTTGTCTCTCTGTGACAGGACCACGTAAGAATACGGTGACAGATTTCTGGTCCATGATTTGGCAAGAGAATGCCCACCAAATAGTTACACTCACAAACCTCAAAGAAGGAAAACAGGTAACCTAAGTTTAATTTTCGAAAGTACTGAGAGTGAAACATTGAGGGGAATCTGATAACTCAAATGTCCAAAAAAATTGTCATTACTGTAGAGAGATTGGTTGCCTAGAAACATTCGTTTGAAAATATTTCCCTCATGCTGGGATGCTACCAATGGCATGAAAGTCTATACACTTTTACGTACGTTCAACACTTATTGCAAAAGGTAGTAAGAAATTAGTTTCGTGCCATAATGTAGTGCTACATTGCCCCTCGATTTCTGCGGTCCTATCCGAAGAACCTTTGTCAGCGTCCCACAGTGGGATTCAAGACCCACGACGTAAAAATGAATAACTAACTACGCACTTTTAGAATTAAACTTTCTAAAAACACTGTACTGTTCTATGAAGGTGAATTGTAGGATATGTATTTGCCACAAGATATAAAAGTACAAAAATGTAACATTCGGCTGTATAAAAGCAGTAAAACCCCAAATCAAAAGTCATTTTTTTCACTTCAAATAGAAGCAGTGACTAAAAAATACCCAATCTTTGACAACTTTATGTTAACTTTACAGTCAAAATGTGTCAGATACTGGCCAGATTTACATCAAACTAGTACATTTGGTGTGATCTCCCTCAGCTTGGACGAAGAGGAAAGCTATGCAAATTATAAAATCAGAAAATTTAGTGTAACTAACAAAGGGGTGAGTAAAAAAATACATTTTCAATAATCATTATTATGTACACAAGATACAAACAAACTTTCTTTGAAAATCAAAAAGATAGAGCCAATACCATGATTATATTAGCAAAATGATTACGTCATCACGGTAAGTTTTGATTTTTCATTTGAAGTTTCACAGTAATTTTCGTGTGATATGGCTAAACGGTTGTCTCAAAACCGGTACTTAGTAAAAATGTTTTGAAATTCCAGCTCCTTACAGCATTGTATCACTTTAAAATTAGAGAAAAAAATAAAGGAACTCCATTTTGAGGAAAAATACGGTCTCCAACTTGCACTTGTTATGGAACTAAGATATCTCCAATTTTTATTAACAGACATCTCGAATTGTAACACAGTACCACTATACCGCCTGGCCGGACCATGGCATACCGGAACCGCTCTGTCTTGTACTTTTCCATGATCACGTGACAAGGACAATTGATCAACAAAATAGTGGTCCAATTTTAGTACACTGCAGGTTATTCAAAGAGCACATTCAATCATATACTCTTCCAAAATATTATAGGTTTCATGCTAAACATTTATAAATTTCTTCTTCATAATTTGTTGAAATGCATTTTTTTTAAATATACACAATATACAAGGTTCTAAGAAAGTGTCTTCTTTTTCTATTTTGAAATTTATTTCTTTTATTTTTCAAGTAATAAGTGCAGATTGACGTACATGTACTCTAATATGTTTTCTAATTTACATATTATTACCAAAAACTTGTTTTTATTCTCTGATAATCCTAGTGCAGGGATAGGGCCTACAGGTACATATATCGCTATAGACGCTTTATATAAGGCGGGCAAAACAAACAAGAAAATCAACATTGCCGAATACGTGAAGAAAATGAGAGAAAACAGAATGAATATGGTTCAGACATATGTGAGTTTATCATTAGTTGATTGAATTGGAGCGTTATAATATACATTGCATAGTTAATTAAAATATAATTTTTTTTTGTCATCAAATATAAATTTTGCATTATCTTCTCTGTATAAAAAAAAAAATATTTTTGCAAGCATTTTGATTTCAAAAGTTGCCCTTCTCTAGATCAACTAATCTACATGTAACAAAATATATTTGAAGAAAAATACCACATTAACAAAGACTTAAAGCTCGAACCATTCATGAAAAACGTTTAAAAACATTTTAAAAATCCTGAAATTTAACAATCATTGTATAATATGGTTTGGTTCTTTAAAATTTCAGGAGCAGTATATGACTATATTTCTGGCACTTGATACCATGTTCAAAGCTCCAACATGTGTACTATCCAAAGCTGAATTCTTAAGGAAAGCAGAGTTAATGACGCGAGATAAACAATCCAATAAGAGTCAATTAACAAAAGAATTTCAGGTAATATTTGATATTGAGAAATTGATAAGACAATTATTAATATCAAGATAAATCATATTTTTTTAAATGACTGAATAAATCCTAGCTCACTGATTTGTTTAAATGGTTCTCGTGGAAAGATATGTTCAACTGCATTGATCTTCCAGATAAACACAATGTTTGATTATTGTGTACAAAAGACCAAATAAAGATATGGAAACTTTCAAATCGATACTTTTTGTTTTCATTTATATTTGTATCAATGAAATCACTGCATCACATTAAGACTTCAGCAAGTATTACTTAATCATATAACCAAATAATTAAAATAATATATGTTAATTACGTTTTCATTGTCAAGATAACAATTTAGCAATCCCCAAAAAAATTTCGACTGAAAGATGTTTTGTAGGTAAATCATCTTATTGACATAGAAATAGAAAGTGCTGAAAAATGTGATTATCGTATGTGGAACTTTCCTTACTTTTATTTTTGCAACAAAATAATGTTTTTACACGCAGGTGAGTTAAGGCTAGGTATAGGCATTTATATGCAAATAATCTATTAAAACTTACTGCCTAATACATACTTGGTACCCACGACATACAAATTTTCATATTTTGACGTCATTGTTCTTTACTACACAAGATTATAATGGATATCAACAAAAATACTTCGGCGCAAGGGCATGCTCTATTTTATTTAACCAAAACAAGGTATATTTAGAAGCAAAGTATTCCAAAGTTTGCTGGTATTGCTGCACAAATATCAACAGCTCAGTTGTGTAATTTCTATTTGTAAAGTTTTAAGTTGAATAAGGGAAAAAATGTACCGTCCGCTTAAGTTTCCTCAAATTCCGATTAAATGAGAAATTACCTAGGATTTGTGCAGCAGTTTTATTAATATATAGAATATTCTTCTTCGCATTATACAATTTTTATGTAAAAATAAATAGGGTAATCCCTTGCGTCGAAGCTGTTTTGTTGATGTGTTTTGTTACCTCCAGTAGGTAAGATCAGTGACGTCATAATGTGTACTGGCTATAACATATCGTGGGTACTAAGTATGCATAAGAAAATAGCTCAAAACTTTCTCTGAATAATAAATATACAATTTATGCGTTTTTATTAACTCATTTGCATAGAAACGCCTAAATCTAGCCTTAACTCACATGCGCATGTTTTCAAATCAGATAAATTATGAAGATAAAAGTATCCATATATTCATCTGATTTAAACAAAATTAAGAGAAATAAGATTTCACCATTTAGACTCTTGTAAGAGTACGGCCGTCCTACACAGAAGAGGATTATAAGCTTGCTGTGGAGAGCGGGGATAACAAATCGGTTCTTCCACGTAAGCCATTCTACATCTGTTAAATCATTGATGAATGTTAATTCAATAATGATAAATATTTTACTTTTCTAAGGAAAGGGCACTCTTTCGTCTTCTGTTTTATTGAAATATTAAGTCTGTTACATTACTTGTGTCAAAAATATTAAAAAGTCTTCCCTCTTTTTTTAATTCAGCTTCAGTTTGTTCATCTACCTACTTAAAATTTCTGAAAGTTTATAATGCTGATTTTTCAAAGCTATTTTACTGGAGACAAAGTTTTTAAAAATATTATTACAGATCGTCGTATTTTGTGCACATTCTGGCTCTAAAATGAGATAGACTTTTCTAGTTGACAAGTACAGTATGTTCCTGTCTCCAAGTGTAACAAAGCGTGGAAATTACATCAATGCCGTTTCTATTCCTGTACGTACGAAAAAAGGTTTTGATAGGTAACTGTTAAGAGATGTTTTATAATTGTTTTTGAATTTTTTTGAATTCAAAACTAGAGAATCTGGGGTTTGTATTTATTAAATACAATGGAATCTGAAAAGAGGAATTATATTCATTCAAAAAATCAAATTATACAAAACGCTTATAAGAAAGAAATCAGAACCAAGTAGGTTTTGCAGACAAATTAATAGGGTAAATACAAAAATCATTTGACTCTGATATTATCCAAAATTCGTTGAAATACACATATAATTCTTTATTTAAGTCTTACCTCAACGTCGGAGCCTTCATAATAACACACTATCCACCGCCAGAAGACGCTGTGGATTTCCTGCGCCTGCTCACTGATCACGAATCAAATGTAGTGATTTGTATGGATCCTGTGAGAGATGTTGAATCAGTCAGTAGATATCAAGTATTTTAATTGTACTTTTATTTGATTCTTTAACCCCCAAAAATTCCAGTAAAAAATAAAGATATTTATTTGATTTTTTGTAATTCAGACAAGTAAGTGGATGCCATCTGCCAATAATTCAAAATCCGTACCTCCATTCACCATTATCTGCGAGCATGAGCAGGTCTCCGAAATGAAATGTACCACATTCACCATTTATCAGAATGGGGTAAGTATATTTTGCCCTGGAAATAGAATTGAGATACTTTTTAAAATCGATTAGTTTTACATTGTTTATGTCTCCACTGAAAATGGATACTCCAATGTCATTGCTGTCTTATAGGAGAAATAGCATGTAACAGTTTACTGCAATTGATAAATAGATGACCTGATTTTATTTATATTGGGATTTCAAACGTCAACTTATTTCTTATTTCATCGATGTGTAAAGAATTTTTTTTTGAGTAAAAATACTCAAACATTCTACCTTGGCTGGCTAGAAAAGGCAGATCACGGGTAATTCATTCAAAGCTCAGAGGTTTTGTTTAGTATTGATTCGTTAGAGCAATATATATATTAGAATTAATTTATAAGCAAGAAATCATTTTGATTTAAAGGTTGGTTAACCGTATAAAATTTATCAGTAATCAAAGGAAAATAATAATTTTATGTCATATTCTGCTCCATGTTTAAAAAAAGTATTAAGACATTAAGATTTCTGTGTGTACAGACATCTCAGATGCAATATATGGAGATAACAAACAGTATTCAAGCTCAAAAGTCCATTAAACATTACAAAGTTTAGAGCAGAGCAAACACAGACCTCTAAAACATCAGAGGTGGGATCGGAGGAGTGAGCATCCCCTGCCGACCGGTCACACCCGCGTGTACTCCTTGTAATGATCGGATAATAGCGGAAATATCCGTCGACAATTCAGTGTGTAAATAATGGCGAACAATTAGTATGAGAAACGTCAGGCAGCATGACTTAATTATAAATTGTATTTGCTGACAAGGTCATTTTATCGACTATAGAACTTACGAAATGACGACTTTAAATGAGACTGCTGATATTCTTGTTTCATCAACTTGTTTGTCAAAAATTTACCCCGTTTTAAAAATTGTTCATACGTAGAGCATGCTCTTGCGTATTGAATCAACTGAGAGATATAAACCCCATATGCAGGTGATGAAGGTATATTGCTGCATAAGTAAGGGAAGTTGACGATTGAAAATTTTAAGTCATCACGTTTATCATAAAGCTTGGTTGTTAGATTACCATTAACGTCTTTTTCTACTAAAATATCTAAATATGGGTCAGATCTGATTTACAAATCGTGAGACATACCTATTCAAGTCACTTCTTTTAATCAATCTGCTTGTGATAAATACATTGCAAACGAATGACATTTTTTTCTGCACAGATAAAGCTTCCTCAAAAAAGTGTTAGTTTAAATGTTTTATTTAGATTCAATTGCCTATTACACAGATGCATTTATTCTCTAACTAACAGATAATGCATAAAAGTTTGTTTATGTTTGTTTTTGAAATGATAAATATATCAATTGTCCTACATAAAGATTTCTTTGCCTTAAAATTCTTTTATTTTCAGGAAAACAGTCAAAGACATTCAATGTCGATTATAGAGCCAAAGGGAAGCTTGAAAAATAAAGACCATTCTCAGGTTGCAGCGGAGATGTTACGTTTGGTTGTATTTGCTTTACAGAGTAAAACAGATGTCCCCATTACAGTAGTCAGCAGGTATTTTTAGATCAAAGAAATTATTAACAAAAAAAAAAAAATTATTGGACCCTCAGATTCTCGACTCATCAGTTCGGCAAAGAAGTGACTTGTGTATGTTGTTCTCGTGTCTATGAGTATCAAAGCGTAATGTCACCAAGTTTCTTTAATTCTATAATAAGTTCTTATGGTCAGTTGAAAACCCTGTAGTGTTCCTGATATAAATAATTTATTGTTTAAAAAGTAGCATCTTAGGTTAGGAAAACATCATATAACATGTATTAATATAACTTATCCTTATGAAACGTGGTAAAGACACTAGTCAAAATTGCTATAGAGATTTAAATTTTAAATCCAATTCCATGGTACAGTGTCTTAAAACATAATTCATTTTAATAATATATTGAGACCTTATAAAAAGTTTAACCTTTAAAAGAGTCTTCATGATCCCCTTTTTATTTTATGTTGATCCAAATGTATGGTGTGCGTTCATAATGTTCATAACTGCAAAAGACAGGTAAAAAAAAATTTGTTAGATTTTCTTAGTATTAAGCCTACAATAATAGTCAAATTTATTTGATTTTTTTCTCATGATTTTTATTATCAGTGACGGAGCAGTGCTTTGTGGTGTATTTTGTGCTGTATATAACACACTACAACAGTTGTCTATGGATATTAACATTTTTATTATCAGTGACGGAGCAGTGCTTTGTGGTGTATTCTGTGCTGTATATAACACACTACAACAGTTGTCTATGGACGGAGAGGTGGACATCTTCTCTGCTGTCCGTCAGTTACAGATAAGACGTCCAGAACTGTGCCCCACAATGGTAATTTTATTATCAAAAACCCTCATATATACATGTATTCTAGTAAATTGATAATTGCTTTTTTGAATACCACTTTCCATTTAGATAATAATTCCTTATTTAGTATGTAAGAAAGGACGACCAGAACCGTGTTCATCAATATTAACTTCTCTCGTAAATACAATATATACATACATTAAATCAGTGTATTTCTTATTTCTTATGCGTGTCTTCTTTGTGCGTTGTAAGGTAAGTTATAAACTTCCTTTTATTTAATTTTTGATGTAGGAGGAGTACATATTGATTCACGATGCTGTGTATGAATACATCCGGTCACAAGAAGACTCCACTGAGGAAAATACTTACACCAACCTGTGAAGGCGTTCTCCTAGGAATGTGCACACTTTATTGTGGAGAGAAACCTTCTGAAATAATTAAAGAAAAATATCTTACCTAAAATTATTACAATTATATAAACTTCTGTTAGCTGTGTTAATTAATTAATCATTATCTTTATGAAAAAGAAAATGTTTCCATCATATTAAACTATAGGAATTTACTAAGTATTATTAATATTATTTAACTGCCTATAAGAGAATTATATACAGACTTTTTTCATAAAAGAAATCTTTAATCCAGTAATCATTTATATATTTGAAGCTGAATGCAGAAACAACAAAATAATTGTACTTGAAACTGCATCTGGCTACATATAAAAGCATTAAAGTATGCGATGTAGGTTAAAGTTATTCTATTCAAATTAGTTTAAAGAAATTATGCAAAATGTCGCTAATCTTTTACAGAAATATATAGGGTCACTGATTTTGAAATAAAACCTGTTATCTAGCTGTTCTTTACTAAAAATGAAAATACTGCGATGCAATGGGTTTGCTTTGGGATTGGTGGCAATTTTTTTTAAAGCCACATTCTAATCTAGAGATTAAGATTTGTTGTCATATCTCAGAAACAAAATTTGAAATTCAGTGACCAATGAAAAATTCATGAAGAATACATTACATAATTTGTAAGTGCTTAAACATTGATAATATGCTTTTTGGAATTTTTTCTAAAACTAAAAATGATGCCTGAATGTCTTTTTTCTTTACTAAATGATATTGTATACTATTTTTGTTACGATCTGGCTGATCTGTGATATATAATTCATATTTTTAAGTTTCTGCTTTATTTCATAACGTAGTTCCATTAATACAATATATATATATATAAGGTATCGCACATGTTAAACTGCGAATAAAACTTAATTTTCAATATTTATTGCTTTTAATATCTGTGAGTTTCTTTGTGAAATGTTTAACCTTGAGACATAATTGTTATTCTGTACCTCTATTTAATAATAATAATAATATGTACTCGGCAAACTGAGACTTATTTATTGCTTGTTGATGAAAAAATTAAATTCTTAATATTCACTTATTTGATGTCTTTCCAATTTGGAGTGATGATGTTTGTTTTGCGAAAAGCATGAGGGAGCTGAATTAAACAAGCTCTAAAACCTCTGCTCTATTTTTATCGCTATCTTTTCATGCCGACATTTTCTTTGATCTCCTGCTTATGGTTAAGGAAATTCTACTGTGGAGAAAGCACACCGTGTTTATTTTGCTGATTCGCGGGCATGATAATGTTTCCCATAGAATATTAAAGTGCGTCACTGAAACTTTGAGGAGAGTGTCATAAAGTTTAAATTTTAAATTACTTTTGTAAATCCGTGTGTCTAATTTGAAGTCAAAATATAATGCCACTGTTATATAATGAAATATTTTAAAAATGCTTCTTTTCATAATGCTTGATTGATATTCAGCATGTTTAATACGATTACAAAAAATATACTATTTAAAGCAATATGAGCTGAAACTTTGATGTCGGAAATTTTTGTTGCAAAATTGTAATAAACTACTTCAATTACAGGAAAAAAGTACGTTTTTAAACTTCTCTTGTTCATATTTGCGATGGAAGAACTATTTTTAATCTTTGGTTGAAGCAGAATTACATAATTGTCGTCCTGTAAAATATTGATTCCTTATATAATACCATATATTCGATTGTACAGAAATCTTTCTTCTGAAACAATTTCATACTTTATTTATGTCAAATTGATCAAAAAGGTTCAAATTACATAAAAATTTATGAAAACACATTTTAACAGAGAAATTAAATTCTCAAAAATGCAGCTCATATTGCTTTAAAGTGTACACTAGTACTGTAACATGCGTAAGTCTGGCGCAGGTGACGAATAAGAGTTTTTGTGGACCCATAAAAGAAATTCTGTTCTAACTGAATCTTTCTTTCGAAAATGTGTAATAGCTTCTTGTTAATAAAACTTACGATACCGAGTGGTAAATTCTCTCCATTAGACCAATGTGACGGTAAATTGAAGTTGTTATGAAATATATCGTATACAAATAATACTATGACATACTCCAAGCTCATTTTAGTGCACTATGACACGACAAATTTATCTGTATAACAAAAAGTCAATAATGTTTGTTTTATTTACCTGCAACGAAGCATATTTTTTTTTTTACAATACTTGAAAAAATCATAATTAACCGTCATATAATAAAGGAAGTCCTGTGATATAACAATGGATGTATGACCTGGAGTATTAAACAGCTACTGGCTTAGACAGTCGGGTGTTTTCATAAATTATTTATAATGAAATATATCATCGAATAACTGTAAGGTGTAAGGTTTCATGAATACAATATACGCACTCATTTGCGCCTTAACCTTATGTGGGCAGGATACATTTTTTTCAAATGCGGGTTAATAAAATTCAATTTTATTTATCTAGGTGGGGCACTGATATAAAGTGATATATAATTAATTTAACGAAGAATGGATAAACAAACAAGATAAATCATTTTTAACATTTTTACGGAAAAAAAAAATTAAACACACTGTACTCAAAATCCATTGATTCCAGTACCTAAGCACTGAGAGCTAAACAGGATTGGTCAGGAGATAGAGGAATAAAATAAATTTCTTCCTGCATATTTACTAAACATCTGTTTTATAAAGCTACATGTAAATAATATTTGAATCCCATTCAGACCTTGTCTAGATTGCAGATCTTGTCTTAACCTCTAGATGTTGGAGTGAAGTATACCTTTCAAAAGGCTAGATTGTCTAAGGGTTAATAAAATCTTACTTTTTCGCTTACTGTCAGATGGATTGCTTATGAAAGAAAAATATTTGAGGTACGTTTGTTATTTCTGTCAAAGATTCAGTTCTGAAAAGTTAAAATAATTGTTCACTGTGGATATTTGGAGTCATTGTATGGGATGTAATTTTATGTATATTTATCCTGTCGGTCATGTTTTAAGATTATCCTATTGGAATTAACCTGTGTTAATTTGTATATAATGTTTATTCTTTGAGCTAAGCCATTTGTCAAAAAGTGCAATCATTTCAGATGAAATGTATGGCGATAACGAACAGTATTCAAGATCAAAGGTCCATTAAACAATACAGATTTCGGAGCAGAGCAAACACGGACCTCGAAAACATCAGAGGTGGGATCAGGTGCCATGGAGTAGTGAGCATCCCCCGCCGACCGGTCACACCCACAGTGTGAGATGATAACGGTAACATTATCTTTTGGAAAGCCTGAATACAAGACAGTCATACGAGAGCATAATATGGTGGAAGAAGGATTATATTAATTAGTATGAGTATTGGTATTCGTATGTTTTTTTAAGGAAATACAGAACACAGAAAAATCATATAAAAATTGAATTAAATATCTTCCACACAAATATTTGCTCCCACTATTAAAGCATCAAATGTAATTAATACGTACGATAATATATATGCTTTTATTATCCAATAATAGTACGCAATGTGAGCAGGAATTGGTGTTATATAATTGGTGCGAGTTCATTTTACTAGACAGAGAAACGTTTAATTATTTAGCAAAGTAACACTTGCAATCCCTTTAATAAAATGGAGTTACGTTTTCTTTCAGAATAACTTTTTAAAACATTTTTAACGATCTTGAGGCGGAGAAAAATATTTTCTATACGGAACGATCATTTATCAAAGGCAAAAATGGATTATTGCTAAGCAGTAAAAAAAAGTATGTTCTCCAAATGAATTATGAGCGCTGTTTCATCTTTTTCTCCTTCTTCTTCCCCGGCCCCTTTTCTCGAGTGTTGTATAGAATTAGACCTATACTCGGCACTTAGGGCCTTTGAATAGTGAGGGTTCTTTATTGTGCCAACACCTATTTTGACACGGGACCTCCGTTTTTAAGGTCTAATCCGAAAGACCCGTGACCTTCACTTCTGGTGCTGGGCGCTTGGCAAAGGAACAGTCACTACCTGTTTACATCTTAGGTTTGACGCGGCACGGCATACGAGATTCGAACCCGGTCCTCCCTGTGTATTACGTATATTAAATTATGTGCATTACGTGTGTATTACGTATATTATGTATATATTAAAGGTATTGTTATTCACAAGTGCACTTGGGGCGAGAGAACCCACTGATAAACAAAAACAAACATAACAATGCTTTTTCCACCTTGACCCAATATGACCATTTTACCTGCTGTACCCAACTACTATATACATAATACAACATTGATCAGTTTTTGAGTTGTAGTACACTCAGTGTTCTTAAGGACTTAAGAATTTCATGCATACAACCCTGTTCCCACCTCTGGAATTTCCGGGGGGCATGATTTATGCCCTGTTTACAGATAGGAATTGTGTGTAGTATTTTTTTTAAAGATCGATCAGTGTTAGGTATTTTCACCTACTTCATTAGTAAGGGAGGCTGTTGCAGACAAAAACTAAATCATGTCTCAATATTGCCTCACAAAAGTTTTGTTACCTGCTAATTTATCGATTAATTCAATAATTAATAAATCTTTTACAGTCCATTGAAAATTTGACTTGAATCTAAGTATCTTTCATGATCCTGGGGCCAGGAACTTTAAGTGATCGAATTTTGATTGATTGTATGTTGTTTAACGTCCCATTCGAGAATTTTTCACTCACATAGAAACGTCACCATATACCGGTGAAGGGCTTCAAATTTTGACCTTTACTCGGCACTCCGGGCCAGGAACTTCAAGTGATCGAATTTTGATCGAGCAGTGAGGGATCTTTATCGTGCCAACGCCTGCTGTGACACGGGGCCTCGGTTTTTATGGTCTCATCCGAAGGACCCGCAACTTTCACTTCAAAGTGCTGAGCGCATGGCGAAGGAACAGTTGCTACCCATTTTTTATCGACTTGGGTCAGTCGTGTCCGAGATTCGAACTCACGACCTCCCAATCACGAAGCGAGCGCTCTACCGACTGAGCTATCGTGAACGGTGATCGAATTTTGAGTCATCTAGAAGTACCTGTGTAA